TCCTCCTCCTCCTCCTCCTCCTCCTCCCTCCTCCCCCCTCTCCACCACCTCTGGCGCGGCATCTCGGAATCCAGAGTTGCGAGGATGTCTCAAGCGAGACGCGCCCGACCACCTCGCGCACATGTCCTGAGAGCCTAAGACTTGCGAGGATGTTTCGGGCGAAACGGTCTGGACAACCTTGCGCACATCTTCAAGAAGTGCGAGGCTATCTCAGGCGAAATGGGCTGGACCACCTCGCCCGCAGCATCTCGGAGCCCCGAATTGCGAGGATGTCTCAAGTGAACCTCCTCGCCCTCTCCTTCTACGCCTCGCGCCATCTGTATTTCCGGGGTTCGGCGCGTCCCGCGGCTCCCTGGTTCGTGGTTCGGTTTCCGTGGGTTGCGCTTTTGCGTTCAGGGGTTCGCGCTCCGGTTCCCCTGGTTGAGCTCGTTTCCCCAGGTCGAGGTTTTCCCCTCCGAGACACCCGAAGAGGCCTCCCAAGAGGCAACAACAAGTGATTGTCCTTGAGTGTTTGACGGATTGTGGCGTTCACGCCTCTTCTGCTTTCCGACGCTACAAGAAGAAGGCCCCCAAGACCATCCCAAGACGGCCGAATATGCCTTCCTCCAAGAGGGCCCCAAGAGGCCATAGAGCGCCCCAAGACGGCTCAATAGGCGCCCAAGACGGCCTAGAGGGTCCCAAGACGGCCCCAAAAGGGCCCCAAGAGAGGGAACACGAACCGAAAATCCGAGCCTTCCGCCCCAAGTGGCCTCCAGGAGGCCCCGAGAGGCGCCCAAGAGGCCCCGAGAGGCCCCACAGAGTCCCCCCAGAGGCCCCAAGATGCCCCCAAGAGGCCCACGAGTGGCCCCAGGAGGCCCCAGAACGGCCCCCGGGAGGCCTGGGAGGCCTTACAGCTGCCTCCAAGAGGCCCCCGAGAGGCCTCCCACGAGATCTCAACGAACATCCAATATGCTCCATAACCACACCCCGGGCACGGTGGCGGGATGGGCCGAAGGCCATCCGATACAAAATCAGCTTCCCCGCCACCTGAGGCACTGGTCTTAGGTTGGGTATGTCCTCCTACAGGCGGATTTCCGACGAACGAACATGAAAAATAGCGCGAACATTTCAAACATATGCTCAAAAAGACTAAAACAAAATCGTCCCTAGACTGTATGTTTTGTTGCGACTGCGCTTGAATGTTCCCTCTGTAGGGGGACAGGCTCGACTTAACACAGGTCCCAGGGCGGCTGCGGACCCAGACCCCCGACAACATGATTTGTTCATTACGTCGACCCCTGGAGATCTCGACCCACTCCCCTGGACCGGTTTGTCATCCTGAGCCGTTTTGTGACGGTCCCGAGGGCCGGCAAAGGCCCCCAGAGGCCGAAAATTGCGAAAAACCTCCCGTGATGATGTTGTCATTGCCCGTGAGGGTCTGGGGCATCCGTAATGGAGGATGACGATGAATAAATGACTGGGGGTCGTGTTCACGCGGCGGCGCCCGGGATGACGATTAGCAAAAACCGGCCGCGGGCTGGAGAACGATTTGTTTTAATCGTTCTCCTCCAGTCAGAAGATTGTGCAGAAATTGCAGGAAACTATGTTTTTAACCGTTCTCTCCCAGTTGTTTTATCAATCGTCATCCCGCAGTATTCCTGTGGCGGCAGGCTCAGGCTGGGGTGTACAACAGACCTTCCGGCCGCCCTGGGGCCGGCGCCTCCCGCGCGCGGGCCAGGCCTGCCGTGTGGAGCCCTGCGCCCGCCAAGCCTTCGAAGGCCCTCCGCTCGCTGGGAGAGGCGGGGGCGCGAGCCGGCCCAGGTCTCCAGAGGCCGGATGGTGGCGCTCTCCTCCTCCTCGTCCTCCTCCTCCTCCTCCTTCTCCTCCTCCTCCTCCTCCTTCTCGAGGGCTGGAGGTCGGGGAGGGCACAAGGACAGGTCGGGCCTGTCCCCCTGCGGGCGGATCCTGAACGAGAAGTGACACACAGACACAGGACATGTTCAGAGAGAGGCAAACAGCGATCCAACCATCGCCCCCAGACTCCTGTTCGACTACTTCTGGACATGTCTCCTGCAGATGGACAAGCCCGACGCAAATCTTAGTGGACCCTGGAAACGACAGGGCCGTTTTTTTACGGGTTCCGTTTTGCCGTTTTTGTACCGGTTCCAATGCCGTTTTTTTACCGGTTCTCGGGGATCTTCTGACCCGGGTCAATCCAGACCCGGGTCAGCAGGAAACCAAGAAACTGCAGCGCAGGAAAAAAAAACTGCAACGCAGGTTTTCGCAAACCCGGGTCAGCCAACAGGCGCGGCCGCCTCGCGGCCACGAGCGGCTCCGAAACCCGGGTCAGCCAGAGGGGGTCTTCGCAGGATCCTGCAGGATCTGGCGCTCTGGCTGACCCCCGTTTGCATTGACCCCCGTCTCGAGGCTCCCGAGGTTCCGTCGCCGTGTTTTGACCGGTTCCGGTCGCCGTTTTTTTTGCCGTTTTTATGTTTAAGGGGCACTTTCTTGGAAACGGGGAAAAAACGGCCCTGCCGTTTCCGGGGCCCACAAAGAGTGATACTGAGACATACTCTGCCGGCGGTCCGCGCGGAGCTCTCTACGGCGCCACTCGGAGAAACCCGCGCGGACCTCCGAACCCGCCTGCTTATGCCATTGAGTTCCTCGAGAAGGGGGGAGGCTGATCTGGTCGTGCCGACTCCTCCCCGGTGGGCGCCGCGGTATTCGCGGCATCGAGATGCATCGGATCGGCGGAAAGCAGTAGCGGAGTCGGAAGAGATCGAATCGGCGAACATCTGCAAGTTTATAGAGCCTCCTGCAAATCAATGAGGCCTCCATTGAGAGAGACCCCGACATCCAGACCGGAATCCGAAATCGAATCGAATGGGCATCGGAATCGATCGACATCGAATATGACCGAGCTGGAGAGTCAAAATGAGCCTCGAGAGAGGACGGGGGGACGATGATCTGGCAGTGCCGCGATCTCCCGCCTTTCGGGAATCTGCTGACCCTGGCCAACCCTGAGCTGGGTCCCTCCTGCCTCCTCCTTCCTCCCTCCTCCCTCCTCCCTCCTCCCTCCTCCCTCCTCCCTCCTCCCTCCTCCCTCCTCCTCCTCCTCCTCCTCCTCCTCCTCCTCCTCCTCCTCCTCCGACTCCTCCTACTCCTCCTCCTCCCTCCTCACTCGTCCCTCCTCCCTCCTCCCTCCTCCCTTCTCCCTCCTCCTCCTTCTCCTCCTCCTTCTTCTCGCAGGATCCTGCAAGATCCTGCAGGACCCTGCAGGATCCTGCGCCCTAGCCTGGGTCAGTGCAACCCGGGCTCTGCAGGATCCTGCAAGATCTTGTGTCTGACTGACCCCTGTTTGCATCGACGCTCGCCTCAAGACCCCCGACCCTTGGGCGCCGACTGAAGCCTGCAAGCGAACGAGGTACTTCTGGCAGGCGCAGCAGTATACGGAAGGGCAAAAAAGTGACCCTGACAAGTCTTCGACCCCCCATATATGGGGTAACTAATTACTTTTCCGCGGCACCCGGAGGAGGGAGGAGGAGGAGGAGGAAAATTAGGTTTTTGGACCAATCGTATTCACCGCCGAGAGAACAGGGGAGAAACCAAAACTAAAAACCTCTTGACGGATAAACTAAAAGCCAGCGGGCCCACAAGGGCACAGAGTCTGTGGTCGTGCTGATTCCTCTCCCCCCTTGGGCGCCTGGCTCCTGCCGGAGACGCCCTGGGACGCCGCGAAGTCCACGGAGCTTATGGGCGTGCCAGCCGCCGCCTGCGGGCGGTTCCGCGCGGCCCGCTGCCTTCGATGCCGCGGTCGTCGCCGTCGTCGTCGTCGTCGTTGCCTTCATGGTCGTCGACATCGACGTCCTCGTCGTCGACGTCATCGTCGTCGCGGTCGTCGCCGACGTTGTTGTCGTGGTGGTCGTAATCGACGCGGCACTCGTCGTAGTCGCCGTGGCAGTCGCCGTCGCCGTCGTGGTTTCCGCCGCCGCCGCCGACGTCGTGGTCGCCGCCGTCGACATCGGGGTCGTCGTCGCCATCGCCGTCGCCGCGGTCGTCCGCGTCGCCGTCATCGACACCATCGCGGCCCTCGTCAACCGCGTCGCCGTCGCCGTCGTCATTGTCGCCCCCCTCCGCCCTCCTCCTCCTCCTCCTCCTCCACCTCCTCCTCCTCCTCCTCCTTCTCCTCCTCCCCTACCGTGTGCCAGGCGACACGAGATTATTAAAATTTGTATCGCCGGCAGCGGTCGCTGCCCGAGGAGGGGGGGCGAGTAACGGCAGCACTTGGGCGGGGAGGGCACGTCGGAGCAGGGGCGCACTGCGATCTTCACAGCAGGCGCGCGCGCGCACCACCATTTGCCTTTTGTTTGGGGGTTGGTCCTCCTCCTTCTCATCATCCTCCTGCTTCTCCTCCTCCTCCTCCTCCCCTTCCTCCTCCTTCTGCTCCTCCTCCTCCTCCTCCTCCTCCTCCTCCTCCCTCCTCCTCCCTCCTCCCCTCTTCCTCCCCCTCCTCCTACTCCTCCTTCTCCTCCTCTCTTCTCCTTCCTCCTCCTCCTCCTCCTCTTCCTCCTCCCCCTCCTCCTCCCCTCCTCCTCCTCCTCCTCCTCCTCCTCCTTCCTCCTCCCCCTCTTCCTCCCCTCCCTCCTCTGTCCCCCTCCTCCCCCTCCTCCTCCTCCTCCTCCTCCTCTCCTCCTCCTCTTCTCCTCCTCCTCCTCCTCCTCCTCGCCTCCTCACTGAACTGAACTGACTCCCGTGTGCCAGGCGACACGAGATTGTCAGAATCGTTATCCGCGGCAGCGGTCGCTGCCCAGGGGGGGGGGGGGGCGAGCAACGGCAGCGCTTCCTCTCCTCCTCCTCTCCTCTCTTCATCCTCCTCTTCTCCTCCTCCTCCTCCTCCACCTCTCCTCTTCCTCCTCCCCCTCCCTCCTCTCTTCCCCCTTCCTCCTCCTTCTCCTCGTCCTCCGCCCCCTCCTCCTCCTCCTCCTCCTCCTCCTCCTCCTCCTCCTCCTCCTCCTCCTCTTCCTCGACACCTCTGGCATCGGCGTTGTTCTCTGACATGCTCTGACGGCAACGCGGCGCGAACCTACTTTAGGGATATCATTCATCGGGCCCCACCACTTCGCGCCTGTCCCTGCGGGCTTGCCGCGGCAGGCGCCGAAGGCCCACGCTCGCGCCGCATCTATTGGTGAATCCTGTCGAGATTGGCTTGGTGCGGGTTGTCCGCGTCCAATGCTCCAACTTGCGCGCAGTGCGCCGCAGCGCGTTCCAACAGCTGGCTGTCGAGATGGACTGAAGGAGGAAGCGAGGCTCGACCAAGGGAGCTGGGATGAGGAGGGAGGAGAGGAACAATGAGAAGAGGGACAAAGAGGGAGAGTGGTGGAAGCCAAGGCAATGGCCATCGCCGAGGCCAGGCCAACGCAACGCAGACTCGAGGCCACAAGATGGTGTCCGGGTCACCGCAACGCCTAGTCAACAAATAACGCCCAAAAATCCATACCATACGCGCATCAACGAATGATGGTGGGCGGCAAGTACGCAGAGCATGCGCGGTTCGATGGAGGTCTCAGGCCAGTGGTCAGAGTGTCAGCGCGGTTACTGCAACAAGGGAGACTGAGAAAATGCACAAATGCGAAAAAGTCCAACCCCACTATTTAGCCAACGCCCGCAACTCTCACACACTGGCCACTCCAAGCTGAGCGCGAAAGCTGGTGCCCTCAAGCGGCAGACCTGGAGCCCGTTACAGTGTTCTCTGCGCAGGCATGCCCATGAGTTGTGCACGTCGCTACCTCATCTGTCGCTGTGGCTGTGCGTAGATGAAGACAAGGCTGCGTGAGCACAAACCATCGGAGCTTCGCGCGGATTTCTTGCAGCGGGGCTGGACCCCCCCCGCTGGAGCGCGGAGCGCGCCAGCGGAGGCGCCGAAGTGCCGCAGGGGAGGCCCAAGGCTGCTCCAAGAAATCTGTGCGGACTTTCGAGACTTCGAATAGGAGATCGACTACTTGAATGGATGTACCCCAAGATTGACTTTCTGGTCAGGGTTAAGGAGCACAGGCATAGTGCTCGTGGATCTACGGGGCACTCTGCGCATTCGCTTCGTAGAATCGCCGAGCACGTCAGTTCTGGGGCACATCAGTTCTGCAGCCGATCCCCTACTCAAAGAGTCCATGTGCATGCAGTGGCTTCTTCTTCTTCCTCCATTGCCTTCGTTCTGGCGGCGAGACCGGGCGAGAGGGTAGAGGGCGCGGGGCGTTCTCGCAAGGCTCGGGAGGGCTCCAGCCTCCCGAGAAGCTTTCTGCAACCCTAAATAAGGAACGAGGCCCCTTTTGTCCATAAGTTAACCTTCGATTTCCTGTCGAAGACATAAGGAAAGCCTGAGGCAAGCTGTGAAACACTTAAGGAAAACGGAGCCCCTTCCCAACGAAAAGGGTTCCTTCTTCAGGGCCCCGACTGTACGATGGACAAGCTGGAGAAGCCCAAGGCGATGACAGCCTGAGAGGTGCGCCTTCAGAAACTGAGGGGAATCCTCAAGATCAGTCCGAGGCCAGGAACTGGCAGTCGTGAAAGATAGGGACGTGCTTCAGGCTGGTAACTCTGAGCCTCCTCCAAGGACGCGAACGGCCTCTCAGAAGGCGCGAGGGCTCCCGCGAATCCCCGCCGCCTCCTGAGAAGGCCTGCCCCCGCTCGGACGCCTGGTGCCTTGGCTTCACGAATCAGCTCTCTCCGGTGGCTGCTCGGGGCGCTCTGGGTACTCCCGGAACGGTGCCGGCGAGGCACAGCCGCTGGAAGGCACCCTGAGGCCGCAAAGCTGCCCAGAGGCCACGAGAACCGCCCGAAAAGCCTCGAGCTTCGAACCTCGAAGCTCACTCGCCGCCGAGCGAGGCCCTCCTCGCGCCCGTGCGCGGGCGGCTGGCCGCGAGAGGTCACGAAAGGCGCCCGAGATCCTCGAGCTTCGAATCTGTGGCGCCGCCGAGCCGTGGCGCTCGCCGCTGGAAGGCCCTCGCGGAGCTGGAGCACGCCAGGAGGAGGAGGTGGAGGAGGAGGAGGAGGAGGAGGAGGAGGGTACTGAGGGTACTGATGATCCGGGGTGGGTCCACACCCCCTGGCACACAGGCCGAAAGCAGGAAGCTAGCCTACGCTATCCTCCTCGTCCCAATCCGCCGAAAAGTCCTCCCGACGGCGCTGGTCACTCTCCCAAGCAACAAGCGCCTCGGGGGTAGCGAAACCGTGCAAGTTCGCAATCAGTTGGGGTGACAAGGCCGAAAGCTCAGCGATCGCTGAGGTTGGGAGAGGATCACCCTCGGCCGCTACTGGTGCCTCTACAGCTTCGCTGTTAGGACCCGCATCCCAACCAGCACCACCCCCACAGGCTCAAAGCCAAGCAAAGGACCCCAAACAGCCTTCGTCCCGTCTGTCGGGCCAAACGGGGTGCCCACAGTGGCCTTACCCAGGTTATGGCCTGGGAACAAACCACGCTTTAAACGGGACCTCTGGGTCTTATACCCCGAATGGGAGGATCCTTTGCAGTTAGATTGAAGGCCTCCCCTCGCACTCTGCTGCGCCGAAGCCCCACAGCACTTACAAAAAATTATGTCATCAAGAGCTGCACAGTCCTCAGCCTGGACCGTGGCCTGGACGATGGAATGGCCTCTAAGCACCCAGGGAACACCAGAAACCTGGAGGAAGTCCCTGGGGGCAGGATGAGGCGGAGGCGGAGGGGGAGGAAGAGCAGAACCCATAGCCCCCATGGCCCTGGGACCCCGCTCAAAAGGCCTCACACCCGCCTCCTGGCAGGCCTCCTGGAGGGCCTGCGAAAACTCATCTTCGAATTCAATATCCGCTGTACCGGCAATGCCGTCAGAATCAGGTTGCTCCAGGGACCCGAAGGCAGCCTGGGCACGTCCATGCCACAAAGCACAGTCTCTGACAATTCGCTTACAACCTGAAACAAACAAGGGCCAGCGCTCAGGAATTGCCCAGAGCTTTGCCCCCTGCTTGGCATATTTGTCTGCCATCCGGTTGCCTCGAATTAGCCAGGTATCATGATCAGTTATTGCATTCGCCTCGGACTGGTGGGCTTTCACTCTACAGACTGACGCTCGGCGACCTATGCCGGCCCACCATTCAGTCCAGTTGTGGCGCCGAGGGTTATCATAAGACAAAGCTGTGCCCGCATTCTGCGCGCACTCCACAGCGCCTGAGCAGGAGGAGGGAGGAGGAGGGAGGAGGAGGAGGAGGAGGAGGAAGATGAGAGGAGGAGGAGGAGAGAGGAGGAGGAGGAGGAGGAGGAGGAGATGGAGAGGAGGGAAGGAGGAGGAAGGAGGAGAGGAGGAGGAGGAGGGAGGAGGTGAGGAGGAGGAGGAGGAGGAGGAGGTTCGCCTGAGCCCGTCGGAGAAACCCTTCGACGCAGCCGAGCGGCGCCGCGCCTCCGCTGCCTTCTCCCAGGGGCGGACCGCCGACCCCGGCCATAAACACTGGGCGACCGCTCTAAAAAATCCTCCTCCTCCTCCTCCTCCCTCCTCCTCCTCCTCGTCCTCCTCCTCCTCCTCCTCCTCCCCCTCCTCCTCCTCCTCCTCCTCCTCCTCGTCCTCCTCCTCGCCAGTGGCCAGGATCCGCCACGGGGGAGCTGCGATGCTGAAGGGGCGCGCGGGGCACACAGAGAAAGTACACGCACACACAAACGACAGGACTCCCTGTGTCTTCGTGTGCTCTCAGGGTTTTTTGTCCTCCCCCCCACTTCCCATCTTGTCCCATGCTTTTGGGGGGAATCGACGATTTGATTGTGTCTCTGTGTGTGTGTGTGGTGTGTGTGTGTGTTCTCCCCTCCTGAGATTCATTAGATGAAGGAAGACCTGCTTTTTGCTCGGACGTTTGCGAGTAGGCACTTTGCGAATAGCGGAACGCGCTCGGCGACTTGCCCCCAGCAACCATCGATCCTCCGGCATCGATGGGAGGCGGGGTTGGGGTTCGGAGACCGCCACACCTTCGAAGAACTCCGAAGCCTACCCCCACCGCCCATCGAATTGCCTGAATTGTCGATCCGCGAGGGCAGGGTTCGGATTTCGCGGCCGACCCGGCTGCACGTCGAGCTGGCGGGATCCAGGCCTTGCCAGAGTCCAAAAAGTCTCGCGCCGATCGTTGCGGCAGGAGCGCTGCGTCCGCAGGACGCATATATGTACACCATGCAGATCGACGCCACCGTGTGGCGCCCCCCCCGTCAGACGCTAGCGAGCTTGAGCAGGGACCGACCGTCCTGGTATTCTCATAGGCCTACCACGACATCTCCTTAGAACCCAAACATGTTCTGAAAATAAAAACGATATTCTTAGAACATGAGTCCGATGTGTTAAAACAAGACAATCCCAGCCAGAAAGGTTCTCAGAACATTCCGTGCAGACCACAAAAGGTCCTTCGAACATTCTTTGGTGGGCCTATAGGCGAGCCATGACGCTTCGCCACTGCTTGACCAGCGGCCAAAATATCATCTGCATTTCAAATGCTGGGCAGTGGCGGACGATCGAGTCGGACGAACGGGGGGGGGCGTAGCAGAAAGGGAATAACGGATCGGCTTCGGGGATCTTCTGACCTGGGCCAATCCAAACCCGGGTCAGTCAGGCCTTGCAGAATCCTGCAAAATCTGGCAGATCCTGCACCCAAGGCGAAAGATCCTGTAAAATCCTGCAGGGTCCTGCACCCAAACCCGGGTCAATGCGACCCTCGCCCTGCAGGATCCTGCAAGCTTGGGCGCTCTGGCTGACCTCCGCTTGCATGACCCCCGTCGCAAGGCTCCCGACGGCTCACGCAGCTGCAGTCCCCGGTGCCTCCCAAGCCGAGCGACGCCCTCGCATCGAGGAGGGCGCCTGGCGGCAAAAGGAGGAGGAGGAGGAGGGGGAGGAGGAGGAGGAGGAGGAGGATCAGGAGGAGGAGAAGGAGGAAGAGGAAGAGGAGGAGGAGGAGGAGGAGGAGGAGGAGGAGGAGGAGGAGGGGGAGGAGGAAGAGGAGGAGGAGGAAGAAGCTTCCGCACCCTCCCCCTCCGTGTTCCTCCGTCCTCCCGCGAGCATCCCTCCTCATGCCTTCTCTTCTCTGCCCTCTCGCCCTTCTCTCGCGGTTCTCGCCCCCGCCCCCTCCCCCCCTGCGCGCTGCCAGACGTGCAGCTGCCTCCACCGTCAACCCTGCGCGTCCAGCAGCATGCTCCACACTGGTCACTGGGTGCCTCAATCTCCCAGTCGTAACCGACGAGATCAGTCGCTACCGGCTTTGCAGCAAACTCCCCGCACCGTCGCGACCGATCTGCTTCCACATCGGTTGCGACCGATCGGTCGCCATTTTGGAATCGGTCGCGATCAGTCGCGACCCACTTGCAGCCACCATCCCTCTGAGCGTAGGTGGTTTTACGAATTTTGTATTCTCTCCGCCTCCTTCCCCTGCTTGGGGGAGGGGCTTACCGCTCCCCCTACCCCCTCCACTGGGCCTGGGGGGGGGGGGGGCGCGAGGCGGTAGAGCGTCCAAGATGGCTCAAGATAGATCCAAGATGGTCATGTCTCGGGTCTCCAGCGGCCGCTCGGTACGATCCGGGCAGCCCCCGCACGGTCTCGGCGAGGCGCAGCCGTTGGCACGCCTCCCGAGGCCGGAACACCGCCCAGAAATCGAGAACAACGGCCCGAGAAAAGGGGCGTCGTTGTCCTCGCTGTCGTCGTCCTCGTCCACGCTCTCGTCCTCGTCGTCGTCGTCGTCGTCGTCGTCGTCGTCGTCGTCGTCGTCGTCGTCCTCCTCCTCCTCCTCCTCCTTCTCCTCCTCCTCCTCCTCCTCCTCCTTTTCTTCCCGCAGCCCTTGGGGACCAATGTCTGAGGTGTCCACACATGCATACGTCAGCGGTGAGATAGGCGGCAAGTATAGCGGAGGACGAGGAGAGCAGCAATGGCCAGCATCAACCCGACTCGCAATACAAATCGAGCGGGGCATATAGATGGGCAACTGACGCCTCCAGCCATGCATCCCCAGGAGGCGTGGGGGCACAGCGTTGTGAGGCTGCCTGCGTGATAACAGCAGCTGCGTAGAATTCCACCTGGCTGCTGTCAGGAGGGGCCAGGATCGGCATGGCATTCATGCACAGGCACTGACGGTCCCCCATGGGCACACATCTCGACGTGACGGTCGGAGACGTATCTTGCAGGGAGCACAGGAACCTGACCTCGGGGACCTTCCACATGCAGGGCAGGTTGGCTTGCGGAGCAGGTGGGTTTAAAATGAGCAAAGCCGCCAGGCCCGAGGACGCCGCACACAGCACAAGCGTCAGTGCCGCCCTCAAGCACGCACTGTCGAGCTCCAACTGCTTCCACTCCGAGGGCGACCTGGCAGAAATTCCCCATGGCTCATCGCAGCTCCTTAAAGGCCTGCACTAACCGCCCTTGACTTTGCAGCGGGGGGCGGGGTCCCACGAGTGAAGGAGGAAATCCGCCACGAGACCAATGACACGCCCAGCAAGAATAATATCAGTAATGAACAATAGCTCATTATGGAATCCCTCAGTGGAGTCCTGGAAAAGCTCGAGAATATTAAGAGACAAAACAAAAACATTCATGCCCACTATGGCACTGGACTCCTCCGCTCTGTCCTGGATGTCACCTTGACTCCTGGGAGCTGCACGGAGGATCACAATGTATTTAGTACCAGGGGCCACAGGCATGTGGACCTCTGCCTGCGTGGGCATCTCTTCCTGGATGCATACTGGTTGGCACGAAATTCTCGGCATGCAAGTGGGAAGGCCCTTGGAGGCAGCCGCTCCCCTCAGCCTAGGTCCCGTCGTGAGGACAGGCGGGAGCTGCGCAGACTCCGCGTAGTGGCCTTTCTCTCGGAGCGTGCGTGCTAGCTCCGCGTCCGCCGCCTTAGCCGCCATCACCTGTTCGGGGCTCAGCGGTGCGATGACGGCCATCAGGTCCGCCAGGCACTTCGATGAGCCATGCCGAACGTGTTTAAGCAATCTAAGATGCGCGTGGAAGTTGAGACCGCAAGCCATGCACACAGTGCCTGAAACGTAGATGGGAGGCCCATGCGCCCTTGGTGGCCAACACCGCCCCACAGTCCAAGCAGGGATACAAGGCGAGAGCCGACGGCGGACGCAGAAACGACGGGAGCGCAAGACCCTTGGCGATGCAACACTTTCGCCGCCCGTCCTTGAATTCTTCGTGACGCCGATCGTCCAAAACTTTGGCCCTGGCAGCCGATTCTGCTTGCTTGCAAATTCGCTTCCAAAACTTGTTGCTGCTAGACCTCAGGAGCCACAGCCGCCAAGCAGGTGGCCCTGACGGTAAGAATACCCTGTCCAGATTCACATGTCTGCTGAGCCACATCAGGTCATCGCAACACAATGCGGACCATGATTCAGGCACTGAGGCTAACTCGTCCAGGATCGCCATCAGACACGCAGGCGCCGATTTGAGAAGCCTGGGAAGAAATCGCAGCCGCCTGAGCCGCAGCACCAGCTCGACGGGCATGATCTCACACTTGACAAAAACTCTATGGTCTGCAGCAGCCTTACCAGAACCAGAATCGTACCCCAGCCCAGCCGCCAATCTAAACAGGCTCAAATAGTTGTGCGCCAGGGTCGCCATCTGTTTCACGTTTAACTTGTGCCAGGTGAGGGCATCAAACAAAAGGTGCGACGTGCACAAAGACGTAACATAAATTAGCTTGGCCCTTAAATTGACTTGCTTCCTGGGGAAAACAGTGCGCCTCAGTACCCCTAGAGGACGTCGCTGCTGATGGCAGCGGTGCGCCAGCTCAGGTCCCAGAGAAATGTGATGGTCCTGGTAACTTCCCAAGTGTTTGTAGGTTCTAGTAAGGCACAGGGAGACGCCTAAGGAAGGGACGAGAAGACCAGTGGCAGCCAAGGCTGCACACTCCCCTCGTGCCTTCCTGGAACCTGTGCCGCTGGAGAAGGCCATGAGCTCCGTCTTGCCCGCCGTCCAGTTCATGGTGCACCCCCTAGACTTGGTTTCTTCGTACATGATCGTGACGAGGGCGATGGCCGCCTCCTTCCAGAGCCTAGCGTCTAACAGCTCGATGCCGTTGACGAGGTCATCCATGAAGGCAGGATCCCATACGTCTTCCTCTACATGCTCGTGTTCGCGACCTCTGAAAATCCTCTGAGACGGGACCACATCCTTAGTCCTCTGAAGATACCCCAGGGATCCTAATCTACTGTTGACCGCGATGATGATTGGGTCGAAGGCTATGATGAACAGGAGGTCTGCTAGTGGCATGCCTGGCCTCGTACCTAGGCGGGGGGAGACAACCCTGGTACTCCCCCGCACTTGGAACCAATTGCATTACATCACGTCAACCACTGCTTCCAGAAGGTGCTTACTTCCCAGTCCGTCCAGGGCTCCAGGCTTGGCGACTAGGGCATGGCACAGAGGCTCCAGACAACTAGGTATCTCTAAGCCCGCCAGCGTGTTCTGGATGTCCTCACTGTTCTGGGCCATTCTGGCAACGAGCCCTCGGATGACCGAATAGAACGCCGCCTTTAGATCGGTGTACAACGACAGGTATGTGCGCTCCCTAGCCTCGGCAGCCATCATGGCCGACCGAAGACGCAAGGATGCAATGTCAGTGCCGCGCTGAGGGAGAGCTCCCTGCTGGACCACCGACAGCATGTTCATCGTTGCCTTTAGAAGTGTACTCCTGAGGAAGGCATGGTGCAACTTCGCCGTGTGGCATCCCAGTAGGATGCCTCTGTAGTGCTCCAGGGGTTCGGGGGGCCCAGATTTGTGTAGATCACATTGCCATCCTCCTTTGAACAGCAGGGGCTCCCTGGACGCCATGCCAACTTTCACGAACAACGGCAACAATATCTGCGTGCATTCTTGCGGAGCGACCTGGAAAAGATCATTGCTGAGCCCGTCAGGCCCAGCACCCCTCCTCTTGGCTGCCTTCATAATGTCATGCTTGAGCCTGAAGGGGGTGATCATGTCCAACTCCCTGGGATATACATTTCCACGCTCAGGGAGGGCGTTGTATCTCTCAACCAGTTCTTCCCAGCTGAGTGCCTGCCCATTCTCAACTACAGCGAAATAATCAGTGAGGGCCTCCGAGAGATCTCCAGATGTGGCCAGAACCTCGCCCTGAGAACCTCGTCGGATTCAAAGCCCCTCGACCTGGAACTTGGAGCGCTTTCCCCCTAACCTTTGCAGCTGGCATAGCACTCTCCACTCCACTCTACTCTCGTTTGAGGACCTAGCGTTGCACAACTGCTGCGCGAGGTCGTCTAGCAGCTTGTTGCGCGAGAGCTTCAAGGCCCTTCTCAGGGCCGGCTTCGACTTGACCAGAAACTCAAGCATGTGTGCGGCTAGCTCGCTTGCCGCCAGGATCTGTTTATCCCACTCAGCGAAAGCCTGGAAAAAGCTCCGAAACCAGGAGGTCCAGCTCAAGATCGGTGATGTTCCGGGGGGGGCCCCGCCTCCAGCGCCGCGGCGACCAGCCTCCTGATCCCACCAGAGTCCTGCTCACCCCAGAGACACCACGCCTGCCGTACTTGCCTTCTGAAAATGATAATGCCCAGAAGAGCCTCTGACACATATGGCTTGATCGGAGTACGCGCAGGTTTAGGGAAGCATGCTTGTGCACCCACGTACATGTATTGAATGATGTCGTGTAAGTGCTGATTCATGTCGACCTGGTGAGGCACCGTGGGAAACGCTGCCAGGTGCATCCTGAAGGCTGCTGCCTTGTCAGGGCCCTGGGTGCCCCTAGCGTCGTAGCCGCTCTGTTGTTGCGCTGCTTTGGTGGAGCCCTGGGACTCGAAGCGCATGAAGACAGGATAATGATCCTTGCCAGTGCAAAAGGAATCAATATCATATCGTATTTGATGTTGCCCCAATGCGGGAACCATATTCTGCTCAACCGCAATGTAGTCTATTCTGTGTGGTGTTTCAGACTTCGACGAGACAAACGTGCACGAGTCCTGGCTGAGAGAGGGGACTAACGTGTTGGCCGCGACCAAGCCCGTCTCCAAGAGCATGTCGTGAAACAGCCCGCCCGATTCGTCCTCGTCTTGCCTGAATCCTTCGCTTCCCACTGCCTCAGACACAATGCTGCCAAGCCTGGCATTCGCGTCCAGGAAGGCCAACTGCACTTTCCATGTATGGCAGATCCCTATGAGGTCCCGCCACCACTCTTTCCTCTGCTGCGAGGTATACTCGTCTCCGCTGTGCAGCGCATGGGCAACCAGGATGACCTTCCTAAAGAGTGGGGCGCAACAGCCAACCACCAGGTGCCTCTGGGTAGCGCACAACGGCCTAAAATGTTTCTGCTCAAAATATAGCTCCTTGCCCCCACGTCGCCCATACGGTAGGTGCAGGGAGACCCAAAGCTCAACACCCAAGTTCTTGCCACCGTCGGATCCCGAAGAAAGCACAAAGTATCCAGCGGAACACCTTTCCCCCGACGGATTCCTCGCCTCCTGCACCCCAACGATGTGGCACTGCTCTTGAGCAAACTGCAACCTGAGAACCTCTCCCGACGTTTTGGCGCGTCTTGCCGCCGTGGCCTCCGCGTCCCTGCCTGTCTTGGCGTTGAAGGTGGCAAGCCTCACGCTGATGCTGAACTGGCAAGACTTGGGGGCCGTCTTCTGCGAGGGTTGGGATCCCATAGTATCCCTTAGCGTCTCCACCGACGCTTGAGGGCGCCCAGGATACCGAAAGGTGTTGTCGGGGCCTATTGGGTACGCTTCTCTTGTGGCCATAGGTGCCTCCTTTAACCACCACCATTCGAGGTCGTTCGTGTACCTGAGTGCCTCGCGTAAGGCCGGCGGGGGTGAGCACCCAGCCGCTCGGTCCGACCGTGCAAGACTGTCTGCCAACTCATTCCATGGATGCCCAGAGTGACCACATACATGCAAAAGCAAAGTGCCGTGTCTCCTGCGCGCACACTGGTATACATGGTATGTAAGCCAGGCCAGGTGTTGGTTCTCCGACGGGACCTCCAAACCCAAGGATATGTTGACAGCCGACTGGTTATCGCAAAAAATGACCAGAGCTGGGGGGGAGTGCACCGTGTTCGGCCCAAAGAAACCCAAGATCCAGAGTGAGCTCCATAATATCCCCATGAGCTCGATAGTCGTGCTAGTGACGTCGTCCCTTTCGAATTGCATTGCTGTGGATTCCCATGCGCTCATTTTTTGCCACCCAAGGAAGCTCACCGCGTCGTCAGGCGAGATCGCGACAGCAGCGAAGGCCCAGGCTGAGTCCCTGAGCGTCTTTCTGTACGAGGCGTCGACATAGATATGTACTGATCTCGCTCTATGTGCCCCGCGCGCAGAGATATCCAGAGCAAACTTGGCAGTGTGATGTAAGGGGATATCTCCAAAATCGTCATTGCAAAGCTCAAACCAGTTGATGTTCTGGAGTAAAACCTGATATATCCTGTCCGCTTCCTGAAAACCACAGTGCCCACTGCCATTGCTCTCAGGATACTGGAAAAGTAAAGGGAACAGACGCAGGGAAGTAGTATACCCACCATCCTCCCTCAGCGCCATCGCACTCCCCCCTGCAACTGCTTCGAGCTGCTCCCTGACTGGAGCGGGGTGCGACGGCGGTGGGGGTGGGGGGGGGGGGGGCAGTCACCACCGCAACTGTAATTGACGTTTGATTGGCCTCGTGTCCTCGCACCTCATGCGCAGCATGCTGTAATTCGCGAGGACGAGGCAAGAAAAGATGTTCCTTCGAGGTCTTGCCCCGCAAGCGATACCTCGTTCGGCCGTTGGACCGAGTGGAAGCTGATGATGAGTCCTCAGTGGCATCACCTGAAGTGGCTGCCGAGGAAATATTGCCTGACTGCGAATTCCAAGACCACATCCCTTGGCCGAGATATCCGAGGCATGGGCCGACCTAAGAATCGGCCTAGTGAAACAGGTCCGAGAAAGCGTGTCCCTGGCTTGTCGGACAATTATAGGTGCATGCGCTTCAAAGCGATTCACTTCGACTGGGCCCCATGAGACCCTGCTAGGCCTTACAAGTTGGACCCGTCTTCCAGCTCGTAACCCTGGCACTGCATCTTCTTGGGGGGGGGGCCTGTTGGGCGAGTCTCCCATGTCCTTCTCTGCGTCCTCCTCCTCCTCTAGCGGTCGGGCCCTCGAAGCCGCAGGAGGTGCATCCGCTGCTGATGCCGCGGGCGCTGCCGCAGGCGCTGCCGATGCTGACGATGCTGCCGTTGAAGATGTTGCGGCCGCTGATGCTGCTGCTGCCCGCGCAGGGGGGAACAGCGCCGCGGGCACTGGCTGCGGAGGATCCACTGGCGATCCAGGCGACCTCTGCGCCGGCGGTGGTGTGGGGGAGCGCTGCGTCTGACTGATCAGGTCGATGGAGGCCCCCTGGATGTGCTGCAAGATGTGCACTGGCCCTGGTATCATTTCCTCCATCACCATTGGCTGCGTCGCGATCAGTAGCTCTGGATCTATCGGCAAGACCTCCTCCTTGGGCTCGTTCCTTTGCAGCTCTGCTGTCACCCTGGACACGCCTTTCACCCTCGGTGTGTCTGGAACTGCCTTCTCCTCGGCCTGGGCCCTGGTCTCGGCTGAGACGCCCATGCAGGGGGCCCTGGCTGGCTTCGGCGATGCCGACTGTCTCTTCGGCGGCGGGGTCTTTGCCACGGGAGGCTCTAGCGAGCTCGCTCTGCGCTGCGTAGGCGCCCTCGGCCCCGTGGCTGGCGCTGCACCAGGGGGGGCTGCGCCATAACCTGGCGCCGTGGAGGCGACGTCCCTCTGCGTGCGCTCTGGCGCCAACCCCTGAAGATCAGGGGGGCTCGCACTGGGGATCGAGAGTCCCGAGATCACCGCCCGCTGTGCCTTCTGAATCGTCTGCGCATCCATGAGCACATCACCTGCTGCTGCACCGATGCCGACTCCCAATACCCTGGCCAGGGCGAAGGCGTGGAAGTTCTGGCCCGTCTGCATCCTCGAGAGGTGCTCCTGGATGGCTTGCTGCTGGGCCTGCACGGCTCTCATCTGCTCCGTCATCGCAGTGATGGCCGCCGCCGTTCGGCCCTCTTGCCCTTCAGTCCGCAGGCCACTGTGCCAGGCGGCGCGCGGGCCGTCGGGCTCTGTAGCCTTCGGCGCAGCGGCTGCAGTGGCTGGCTGGCTGCGCGGCGCCCCTGAAGCTGCCCTTGGTGCTGCCTTCTGGGGTGGCTGATACGTCTGAGTCTGTGCCATGGGCTGATTGGGCGTTGGTGGCGGCGGCGGCGGCACTCTGCTGGCAATTGCTTCCGCCGCGGCCTTGGCTGACTGAGCTTTTGCCTCCGCCTGTGCTGCCGCCCTCTCAGCCGCCGCCTGCACCCACGGCCTCTGGGCACTGCTGGCTGCTCTGAGACCATGTTCACTTCCTCCTGGCGGGGCCATCAACCAGTCTTCATCATGATCTGGTGCATCCTCCGCTTCTCGTAGCTGCTGGATGGAGTTCTGTAGCTTCTGCACCATCAGGCAGAGCGTCGCCTCCTCGTCTAGCAGCTCCTCGACCTTAGCTCGTATATTGCCGAGCCTCTCTTTTGCGCTGATGAGCTGGGCCTTCAACTCATGCAACTGCTTCTCTGAGCCCTTGCAGGCACTCATCATGTACTTGAGCACCCCTATGTCGAACTCCAGGGCTGGATCCTCCTTCCCTGCGTCACGGACCGCGACGAGGAGGTTGGCGAACTTCTGGAGCTTCGACTGGGCCTTTGACTTGTAGATCTTCAGCTCGTCCGCCTCTGGTGGCGGCGGCTCCCACACCGTGATGTTGGCAATCGCTTCATCAGGTGCTGCAACAGGGATCTGTGCGATCAACTCTCTTATGCTGGCGGACTTCTTCTGGTCCCTTTTCCTGCTGGCCGAACGTCTGGTGGGATCGGGGCGAGGAGCCCACACGTTGCCACACGAGCATGTCCACTGAGAGTTAGGATTTCTTGTCTCGCACTGCCTGCATGTCCAAGTACCTCCACCCATCGTGCTATGATGCGATTCGAGGAGGCGCTTGGCCTGGAACACGCTGAGGAGAAGGCGAGCTCGCCCTCGCTGCGCCCGCTGCCTCTTGTGCCAGGCTGGCTCGGGGGAGCCCCTGCGGCGCCCCGAGCGCGCCGTGGGTCGCGCGCGCCCTCTGGTGCTCAGCCGCCGGCCTAGCCGCGGGAGCTTTCACGAGCAACTATCGTGAGGGGGGCGCGGCGCCTGAGCCCTGTGCTCCGCCAAAATGGCCTGAGCCCCAGTGGCTTCTCCTCCTCCTCCTCCTCCTCCTCCCTCCTCCTCCTCCTCCTCCTCCTCCTCCTCCTCCTCCTCCTCCCTCCTCCTCCTCCTCCTCCCTCCTCCTCCCCTCCCCTCCCTCTCCTCCTCCTCCTCCTCTCCTCCTCCTCCTCCTCCTCCTCCTCCCTCATCCTCCTCTCCTCTCTCCTCCTCCTCCTCCTCCTCCTCCTCCTCCTCCTCCTCCTCCTCCTCCTCCTCCTCCTCCTCCTCCTCCTCCTCCTCCTCCTCCTCCTCCTCCTCCTCCTCCTCCTCCTCATGTGACTCCCCTTCCGCCCCTCCCCCCATCTTCCCCCTTTCCTCTTCCCATCTTCCCTTTCCTCTAGCTCATCCTCCTCCTCCTCCTCTCCTCCTCCTCCCTGTTCCTCCTCCTCCTCCTCTCCTCCTCCTCCTCCTCCTCCTCCTCCTCCTCCTCCTCCTCCTCCTCCTCCTCCTCCTCCTCCTCCTCCTCTTCCTCCTCCTCTGTGTTCACCTTTTTCGCGTTTCTCTTTTCCCCGGTTTCGTCTTTCCTCTCGGTCGCACACCCGCTGCTCCTGTTTCTGCGGGGCATGGCACGGGCGCCCTACTGGTATCATTTGCATACCGTGCATTTCAAGGTGCCCTTCTTCTGGTCACGCGCGACATGGATCGCGTCCACGGAGAAAGCCGACCTCGGCAATTTCCTCTGGCACTTGCCACTGCACTGAATGGCCTGCCAACTGCGCGACGTGAAGCCTCCAAACACCGAAAGCACCATGAAAACCTTGAACTCAGTTAAGGGGTCGGCGGATGTGGCGTAAGCTTATAGAGTCATGTTAAGACGGCCCTTTCTTGTTGGCTCGCGAATCACTCAACATTAATATCCCAAACCCTCGATACCCGCCCTCTTCGTTTTCGAGTGTATCCCCCTTAGGATAAATCTTCCTTACCAGCCACGTGTAGTCGGCGCAGCCCCTGAAACAAGGGGCAGGAGGAGGGAAGGGACAACGGGTAGAGGATAGAATGGGGCACGACACAGATTAGCTGGAGGGGAAGCAAGTACCACGCGAGAGCACGGTCCCTGGTCAAGTTGTGAGGAAGTCCCGCGCGAGAGCGCGATTTTGAATCCGCCACCGTGCCTGCACGGAGCGGGCGTGTTAGAATGTTCCTGTAGTGTTTTGCTATGTTTTCTTGGGCCGATACCCCCCCCCCGATTCGCACGCACACTCGTAGACCGCCACCCCTGAAATCGCTCCAGACAACCTAGATAACCTCCAAAACGGCTTCCACGACAGCCAAGACGACATCAAAACGGCTCAAGATGGCCCAAGACGGCTCAAGAGGCTCTCAAGACGGCCTCGAGACAGCACAAGAGGTTCGCAAGACGGTCCAAGAGGGCTCCAAGAGGCTTTCCAGGAGAGCCCGAGGAAGCAAAAATCATAGATGTTCAGTGAGGCCTTTCCGGATGCTGAGGCTCTCGCCGATTTTAGTAAGTCTCCGATCGCCCAAGACGGCCAACGAGGCCTCCAAGATAGTTCCAAGACGGCCCGCGAGGCTTCCAAAAGGGCCCCGCATCGGCCCTACAGGACCCCAAGATCGCCCAAGAGGCTCCCAAAAAGGGCCCCAAAAGCGCTCGACGAGAACACTAAGCCGGCCTAGAGAGGCCCTCAAGACGGCCTCCGAAGACGTCAGAGAGGCCAAGAACACCAAAAATGGCCCAAGAAGCCCCGAGGCCCCAGGAGGCATCCAAGAGTTCTTTAAGAGACCCTACAAGAGCCCGAGGAGGCAAACATCATTGATTTCCATTCGGCTATTGTATGATGTTGAGGGTCTCGCATGTTTGGGTCTCCGACCGCCCAAGACGGCCAAAGAAGCATCCAAGGTAGTTCCAAGACGGCCAGCGAGGCTCCCAAGAGGGCCCAAAATAAGCCCAAGAGGAACCCAACATCTCCAAAGAGGGCCTCAAGGCGGCTCTAAAGCGCTCCACGAAGGCACCAAGTCGGCTCAAACAGGCCCCCAAGACGGCCTTCGAAAACGCCAGACGAGCCAAGAGCTCCCCAAGACGCCCCAGGAGGCCCCAAGAAGCCTCCGAGAGGCCCCAGGAGGCCACCAAAAAGGGGCCCAATGAGTCCTTCTCCGCATCATTTTCATATGTTCCATCTCCTTCTCCTCCTCATCCCCCTCCTCCTCTTCTTCCTTCATACCGCGAAGACGAAGACGAGGTCGAGGTCACGCCCTTCCCAGTTCAGACCTGTCGTCGGAATTGCGCTGTTCAGACCAATCGTCGGAATTGCGCTATTCCTTCACGAAGTCTCCTTCCTGGACTGTTGCACAAGCACGGTGGCGGAGTTTGCCGCAGGCAGCTGGATAAATTTAATCGAAATATCAAGCGGGAGCTGTTGAATTCTCACTTCTGAGGAATAATGTTTGTTGACCCCCCCCGCCCGGTGCACATTGTATTTTTTCGATTGAAGTGCCCTTCCCGGGGCTCGCACCCTGTTTGTTATCAAAGAAAAGATTGAGGCTCAAACTGTGTCGTTGGCCCCCGCTTTACAACAACAACGGCTCCCGCCTGATACTTCCTCACAATGTATTGACGAATCGCGCTCTCGCTTTGGATTTCCTGGCAATAGACCACCGAAACGCGACTCCCGCTTGATACTTTTTGACGATGTATTGCAGAATCGCGCTCTCGCTTAGGATTTCTTCGCGACTTACCACCGATCCACTTCGCTGGAAATTTCCTTACAATGTATTCAAATGCTGGTCCTCGACACTCAGGAATCGCGCCCCCGCTACATATTGCCTGGCGGCTCAAACAGGACTCACGTTTCAACGACCCGCCCGCTCGACACGCCCGCCTGGGCCTGCCCGCCCGACCAGCCCGTTAATGACTGCAGTCGCCGTTCGCTGCCCGTCGCCCGCCTTCGATGCCCCTCGCTGCTCGTGCTGGTTCCGCGGTCGCCCTCGCTCGCTGCCATTCGTGGCCCCGTTGCTGCCCTCATTGTTCCGTCGCTGCCCTGTGTGGCCCCGCATTATATGCCTTTCGTGGCCCCCGCTCGCACGCGCCCGTCGTGGCCCCGTACGCATGCCCTTCGTAGCCCCGCGCCCTTCGTGGCCCCTTCGCTGCACGTCGTGGCCCTTTTGCTGCCCTCAGTGGCCCCGCTGTCGCCCATTTTGTGGCCCCGTATACGAATGCCCTTCGTGGTCCCCGCTCGCTCGCGGCCGTCGTGGCCCCATATGCGTGCCCGTCGTGGCCCAGCTGTCGCCCTTTGCGGCCCCCTCACTGCCTTTCGTGGCCGCGGTGCTGCCCTCAGCGGCCCCGTCTCTGCCCTCTGTGGCATGGGATGGTATGCCCTTCGTGGCCCACGCTGGCTTTTCTCACGATTTACTTAGGAATCGCACTATCGATCGAGACTTCCTCGCGATTCATGCAGGACCCACGCTTCAGCAACCCGCCTGTTCGACCTCGTCGCCTGGGCCCGCCTTCCCGACCTGCCCGCTGTGACTCTGCCCACCCGATCTGCCCGTCTGGTTATACCACGTGTTTTCTGTTCCTTAATCCCTTCTTGTTAATTTCTCTCGTGCTCGCGTTCCATTGTTATCCCTCCCCCTTTCCACCCGTCCTCCCCTCCCTTGTTTTAAGGGCTGCACTAAATACGCGTGGCAGGTAAAGAAGATATACCACCCAGGGGATACGATCGAAAACCACGAGGGCGGGCACCGAGGGCTTGGGATATACGTATTGATTAGCACGCGAGCAGATAGGAGCGAACAGTCTGAAAATGATTGTTGTCGTTGCAGGTCGGGGGCCAGCATCCCAAAATCAGGCGCAAGACTCCCCTTCTAAAAAGCAGGGCGCGAGCCCCTGGAGGAGCAACTGAGTTGAAAGAACATAAGGTGCACTGGGGCTGAACAAATGACATTTCGATGCCTCCGACAGAAACACTGCACAGGAGCATATGTTTAGCTTGCCCTGAACCCTTCCCTCCTCGCCCTGACGGACACCCCCTCTGTCGCCCTCTGATCTGCCCTCTCCTCCTCCTCCTCCTCTTCCTCTTCCTCCTCCTTTCATTTCTCCTCCTCCTCCTTCTCCTCGTTATTGTTCCTTTTCTTATTAGTTTCATGAGTATTGGAAGTGTTCTTCTTATTCGCAATAGTATTAGTTATGATTCTCCATAGCATCGATACTAGTTTTCCTTTCTTATTAACAGTCTTAGCATCCATCTTCTTATTATAAGTACGCGTGACTGTATTATTCGTATGATTCTTCTCCGTTTTCGCATTATTACTCTTATTGTTACGAGCGTTATTGTTAGTACTCCCAATATTCTTATTATTCTGATTGTTATTTTTCCCGTATTCATCGTATTAGTGTTAGTCTTGTTATTAATATTCGCAGTAGTATTACTTTTCGTGCCGTTTTTCTGCCTCATAGCTTCCCCTTAGTATCATAGTGTTCGCATTAGTATTGGTACTCCTCTTCCGTTTCTTATTCAAATTATTCGTATTATTCTTATAGTTATCATTCTTATTCTTCTCATTAATGTTTTCAATAATATTATGATCATCTTGATCCTCCTGCTCCTCCTCCTCCTCCTCCTCCTCCTCCTCCTCCTCCTCCCCCTCCTACTCCTCCTCCTCCTCATCATCATCATCCTTGTAGTTATACTCCTCCTCCACCTCCTCATCATCCCCCCCCCACCACCCCTTCCCCGCCCTCATCAGTCCACTGTTTCTTCTCCACGTGCTCCCCCGCGCCCCCCTGCTCGGATCAAGCAAATTGATTTTCCTCGGCGCCGTCGCCGCCTCGGCCAGCGCGCGCGCGCGTTCGCCGACGGCTGTTTCGCGAAGCCTTCGGGACAACCCCGCGGGCCATGCCTTTGGGGCAACCCCGCGGGCCGCCTGGGCGCGGGGGCAGGCCGTCGGGACAACCCCGCGGGCCAGACCGCTGGGACAACCCCGCGGGTCTCTAGCTGCGCGCCACGGCGCTCAGGCGGGAGGCAGCACGAACCCAAGCTCCGCGGTGAGCTGCTCGGCCTCATCCCCGAAGGTCTTCGCTTTCTCGTCAAGCTTCCGGAGCGCCTTCCACGGGGGGCGCCGGCGGCCCGCGCTCCAGGGTGACTCGCGGTGGCGGCCGCAAGATCAGCACGTTCCGCACGCACGTTGCGCGGGAAAACATGACGTAGAGGCGCAGCCACTACTGCTCGGGTGACATGCCCGTGCGTCCAGCGTCCTCATCCCTGGCGCATCCATGGCGACGCCCTTGCGCAGCGTCTGACCCTGCGACACCGTGGAAGTCGGGTAGGACGCGTGCGTCAGGGTGAACTCCGAGCGGCGCACGACGTGCGTCCCCGAGCTCTGCCACGTGAGCTCCTGCTCGCTGGGCCTGCAAGCTCCTCGCCCGCACCTCGGCCTCGCCGCCGTCGTCAGCGCCTTTGGCGACCTCCTTGTAGATCGCGGGTTCCTTGAAGCCGTGGACCTGAGACTTCCTCGCAGGACACTCGCAGACGAAGTTCCCGCCCGAGTTTTCCTCAAAATTCATGCCTGGGGAACCCAAAAGTGAGGACAGATACAAGGCTGAGGATGACCCGCTCGGATTATGAACATGAAATGCGGGACCCATAGGGAAAGGGCTCCCGCCTGAGACCTCCTCGCAACTCACTATTAGAGGAAGCTCCCGCCTAAGACTTCCTCCAAAGTCAGGCCTGAGGAGCCCAAAAGTGACGACAGCTACAAGGCTGAGGATGACCCGCTCGGATTACCAACATGATGTGCGGGACCCACAGACGAAGCTCCCGCCTCAGAGTTCCCCGAATTCAAGCCTGATGAACCCAAAAATGACGACAGTTACAAGGCTGAGGATGACCCGCTCGGATTATTAACATGGAATGCGGGACCCATAGGGAGAGGGCTCCCGCCTGAGACTTCCTCAAAACTCACTCACAGACGAGGCTCCCGCCTGAGACTTCCTCCGAAGTCAGGCATGAAGGGCCTCAAAGTGACGACAGTTACAAGGCTGAGGATGACCCGCTAGGATTACCAACATAACATGCGGGACCCATAGGGAAGGGGCTCCCGCCTCAGACTTACTCGCAATTCACTCACAGACGAAGCTCCCGCCTCAGAGTTCCCCAAATTCAAGCCGGAGGAGCCCAAAAGTGACGACAGTTACAATGCTGAGGATGATCCCCTCGGATTATTGGCATGAAATGCGGGACCCGTACGGAAGGGGCTCCCCGAGGCTCCCGCCTGAAACTTCCTTCAAAGTCAAGCCTGAGGAGACCAAAAATGACGACAGCTACAAGGCTGAGGATGACCCGCTCGTATTACCAACATGAAATGCGGGACCCATAGGGAAGGGGCTCCCGCCTGAGACTTCCTCACAACTCACTCACAGACGAAGCTCACGCTTGATACTTTCTACATGTTCACGCTAGGGAATGAGTGATGACGAAGTGATGAGTGACTGAGTGATGATGATGCAGGGTGAATGGAAAATGATGATGATGATGATGATGATGATGATGATGATGATGATGATGATGAGAGTGAGTGAGTGAGTGAGTGAGTGAGTGAGTGAGTGAGTGAGTGAGTGAGTGAGTGAGTGAGTGAGTGAGTGATGATGAGTGCGTGAGTGAGTGAGTGAGTGAGACAGTGAGTGAGTGAGTTGGTGAATGATCGAGTGGTGATGATGATGATGATGATGATGATGATGATGATGATGGTGATCATGATGGTGGGTGTGAGTTTGTGAGTGGGCGAGTATGAGTGTGAGTGAGTGTGTGAGTGACGACGATGAAATGAGTGAGCGACGCGGAGAGGGGGAGTGAGTGTGTGAATGTGAGTGTGAGTGTGTGAGAGTGTGATGGTGGTGATGATGATGATGATGAGGAGGAGGAGGAGGAGGAGGAAGAGGAAGCGAGGGGTGGGAGAGATCCTGCGCGGGGGTGTGCCGAGAAAAAAAGAGCCCCACTCTGGATGTGCGGAACAAATGCTTGTCAGACTGTTCGCTCTCATATGCTCACGTGTCATTCAACATGCATCCCCCAAACCCTCGATACCCGCCCTCTTCGTCTTTGATCGTACATCCTCTTGGGAGGCGTATCCTCCTTCCCCGCCACGCGTAGTTGGCGCAGCCCTTATAGCAGCAAGAATGGCAAGAATGGAAAGGGGCGAGGGCCAGGAAGAAGGGAGTGGAGGAAGGGAGGAGGGAAGGGGGCAAGAGGGAGGCAGGGATAAGATGGAGGACGAGAGGGATTAGCACAGGGATGGCAAGGACGACACGGCGACGAGACGAGGCCACGCCCAGACGCGACCTGCATGGCGCCCTCGAGCATCTCCACTGGGTCGTCCGACGTGCGCGGGGGCGCGGCGTCAGCGCCCGCCTGAGCCCCGCCCAGCGGGGGGGGGAGGGGAAAGGAAGGAGCGGGGACGAGGGGATGAGGACAGTTGGGACGAGCATGATGACATGCGAAGGATAAGGCCGCTGGGGGTCTGCTGATCAGCTCCAGGCGAGATTGCCGACACGTGGGTGGGACGAGGATGCGAGCCCTGAACCCTACTGTTAGGTCGGGTATGTTCCCCTACAGGCGGATTGTGGACGAAAAATAAAATTTAAAAAAAAAACAAAAAAACAAAAGAACAAAACAAACAAAAAAAAAAAAAAAAAATGTCAAACATGCTCAACAAATCGTCCCCATACTATCATATTTTACACATTCCTCTTGTAGACGGACAAGCCCGATTTAATCCTACTGGCTCGGGGGGCCGGGACGCCCACGCACGCGCCGCCGCAAGCGCCGAACTCGCACGGACCCGACGAAGCGACCGCGAAAGCAGGAGGAGGAAGGCACGAGGACCAGGAGGGCGGGAGGGAGGGAGGGAGGAGAGGAGAGCGAGGAGGCGGAGGAGAAGAAGGAGCAGGAGGAAGGAGGAGGAGGAGGAGGAGGAGAAGGAAGTAGGAGGAGGAAATAGAATAATGAGTTAGAGGGAGGATGGGGAAGAGAGGCGGAGGAGGAGGAGGAGCAGGAGGAAGGAGGAGGAGGAGGAGCAAGAGGGAGGGTGGGGATGAGGAGGGGGAGGAAGAGCCGGAGGAGCAGGAGGGACCCTGAGGAAGGAGGAGAAGGAGGAGGAGGAGGAGGAGAAGGAGGCTGCCGTCGTCGCCAGCCGAAACCAGTCTCCGCTGGAATCCCGAGGCGAGCGCCCCTGAGCTCTTCGGAAGTCTCCGGCGGAGGGCCTCGCAGATCAGATCCCAGGAGGCCTCTGGGCCTTTGCGAGGTCCGACGACCGCCGACGACCACCACCGACGACGACGACGATGAAGACGACGACGAAGACGACGACGACGACGACGACGACGAGGGCAGCGGTGCAGAATCCGCCGGCCTTTCGAGGGACCAACGGGGTGAAATCCTGGCGTCTCAATTTTTCCGAACCTGGCGTTTTCGCTCGGTCTCGGGCCCCAGGACCCTCACAGATCGATGCAGCTCGAAAAATGGCGCAGAAAGATGGGGTCTGGGGCTCTGGTCGCGATCTTCTACGATGTTGCATTTTTTCGTTGCGTTGGATATCAGGGCAAGCTGCGAGCCGTAAATATCCCGGCTCCCTGCGACAGTTCCAATTTCCCCTCTTATACCTATGCTGAACCTGTCTGCGTGTGCGAGAGGCTGTTTTGTTTGACTCGTCGTCGGCGCCGCCGTCGCCGCTCCACTCCATCCCCTGGGCCCTCTTCCTCCAGCGCGCCAGCCCAAGCAAAATTAAGCAACCTCGAAGCTGGGGCAAAAGGAAACTCCTTGCCTTTGATCCCTTCCCCGCCAGAGGGGGTCCCACGGGCGTATGGGACCAATCCCAGACGACCGTACCAAGTCCAACCAACTGGGCCACTTCTCAACCAGCCCCCCCAAAAATGGTATCAATTACAACCATCTCGAGCCGTCAGTACAAGTCGATGTGTAAAGTACTGTTATAAACAATGCATAAATCAAGTACAGCCCTTCAAAATACACAGTCTTTCCAGGAGACAACATGGGTGCCACGATTAGAATTGAAAATGATCTACTTTCTGACATCTGGTAATTGTGCCATTGTGAGCCTGGGCAGCGGTCGCCAGTAGAATGGATGGCGCACGAGAACTGGAAAGCTTTCGCAAGACAGCTGAATAGCTGTCGGGTTTCCATCACCGAGCAGTACAATACAAAAACGAGGTGTGGCGATACATGAGAAGGCCAGACAATCTTTCACTGAGAAACTCACTGTACAAATCAAAACTTAAGCTGCCAAATGGAACAACACAAAACAATGTGTGCAAGTTGCGCGAACGAGCTTTTACATGGCATATGGCACCCGGAAGCTTTGCATGAGATGTCGTGGGGCCGGTGTAAGCTGAACATGATAATTCATAATGCTCGTGTGGGTATGATCCACCATGTGGGTAGCGTACTAACTACATTACTTTCTTGTTCGCTGATGTGCAACCAGCTTCCCTCACGTACTGTATATTGTTATTGTCGTTTCATTATGCTCGAACATGGTGGCATGTTGTTTGTTTTATTTCGAATGAATATACGTCAAGCTCACCGAACCAAACTGACCGTTTCAAAGATCTAATGCTGGATGTGTCTGCCAACAAGAATGCAGCATTACACGTGTCAACCCCAACCGCCCGCATAATGTTCAATTCGTTTTTCATGTGAAATTAATGTGGACGCGCGCCGATCCGACCTGCCAGCTGAAATTGCTTCACTGTTGATTTGGTGTCAATGGGATTTGTTGTTAAAATGCACTGGCCGTGGCCTCCCGCAAAGAACATTCGATACTCCTGACGGAAGGCTAGGTGGCCCGTTTGGCCCCCCTTTCCCTCCCCATGGGCGCGGGCGACGTCCGAAGCCCCCGAAAGCACGAAACGGCTACATTGAAAAAGTCACCATCGGGGCTCCTACGAACGTCCTGATGAAGTCCTTAGGAGTCCCTGAGGATCCCCGAGGCATCCAGAAAAATCCTGCAAAATCCCTGAAGAACCCCAAGAGGAGCCGAGGAATCATCGAAGGAAAACTGAATGAATCTCTCATGAATACGCCAAACATCTCCCAGGAACCTCCCAGGAATCCCTGAAAATTCCCTGATTAGCAACGTAAGCTACCCACAGCTCATCTTAGCAATCGAAACGGGACATCGGAACCGTACATTTGCTATTGAATCTTGAATGCGGCGGCAATTTTTTGCACCTCACGTTCCTCATTCGAGCGGGTCGTCGGAGCCCTGTAACTGTCGTCACTCTTGGGGCTCTGAGTCCTGATCACGGCGGCGATCCCGATCGGGATCCTCGTCTGTGCGTAAATTGCAAAGAACTCTCAGGCGGGGGCCCCTCCCTATGGAGTCCGCAAATCGCGTTATTAATCCGAACGGGTCATCGGAACCATGTAACTGTCGTCACTTCCAATCCGCTGAAGATGAACGTTGACGAAATCTCTGGCGGGAGTTTCGTCTGCGATTGAATGGCGAAGGAATATCAAGCGGGAGCCCCTGCCCATGGGGCTCGCAGCTCACGTTACTCATCTGAACGGCCCATCGGGCCCGTGTAACTGTCGTCACTTCTGGCCACTTGAAACTGAATATGGCGGAGGTCTCGAAAGGGGCAACCGTGTCCGCGAGAGAACGGCGGTAATGCGCACGCGGAACAAGCTGATCCTGCATCCGCCAACGCGGAAAGTCCTTAGAGCGCGGACCGCCGGCTTCCCTGCGGGAGGCGCTCAAGGAGTTCGACAAGAGCGAGAAGCACCAGGACTGAGGCGGAGCAGCTCGCG